CAAAAAAAAAAAAAAAAAAAAAGAAAAAAAAAAAAAAAAAAAAAAAAAAAAAAAATCACATAAAAAAATGTTCAAATTCAGTAACAAAGAAGTGCAAATTAAAACAAGGTATTTTTTTTTTTTTTTGCCTATAAAATTAGAAAATGTTGTATTTCAAGTTAATAATCAGTACTAGCAAGTAAAAAATGCCGTGACATATTGCCTTCCTGGAGAGCAATATGTATTAGTAATTTTTAAAATGTTCCCACTGACATTCATCAAGAAATAATCCTGATAAAACAGAGATGAACATAAAGATTTGTATATAAGAGTGCTCATCACAGTTTTATTGATAAGAATTACAATTAGAAAATGTCAAAACACATTTGTAAAATAAAACATGGGAAATAAATGCAATGACATGCAAGGCAAAGCAGCCAGAAAGAAAAATATTTTGTGACTAGAAAGATGTTCCTGATATATGATAGGCAAAGACAAACAAAAAAAACCACAAAATAGTGTCTGTCCACATGTCACTACTCCAATTTCATTTATTAAAAAAGAAGTACATCTACACAGATATGCACATACAAAACACATAAGAGGAACTGTGGAAAACTGGCAATAAGATTAATAAAGATATTTTTTCCTTATACCATTTTGCATTTTCAAAATTCTCTCTAATGAACATCTATTAGTTACATAATTTAAAAACTAAGCGTGGTTTCAAAGTAAATACTGCTTACCTTAATAAAACCCCAGAGTCCACCAGCAGATGCTTCATCCTGACCTCTACCAATTCTAGGATCTTCTTGTTCCTCTGGAAAAGTAATGGCCGATGTGGTTTCAGTTCCCTGGGCCAGAGATGTCAAACTGGCTTGCTGAGTAATGGGAGTTGGCAAAATACCTAGTCAAAGGTAAAAAAATGTTTAAAATGCATAATTTATTACATAAATTCCTAGAAAAAAGAAGATATAATAGATGAAATGAGTACTTCAAAACGGCTTAAATAATGTAACTACATACTCAGGCATTTCAAGATTGAGTTATGGACACAAAAATTCACCTAAAGCTTTATAAAATGCAAGTTAAACAAAATTCCAAAAAAGAAATTTCTTTCATTTTCATAGGCTTACACCACCTGTCCTAAAAATGGACAAAAAGTACATGTATTAAAAAGTACTTCATATTTGCTCTATTTAGCACTTAGATGTGGACAGCTATAGTTCTATTTTCTTTTACACATAAAAATAATTGATGTGAGAAACCAAGCCCATCAGATAAAACATGTAACAATTAGTACACATACTCTGTATGCCCTATTTTAACTCAAAAAAGGAAATTCACATATACACTAACATGGGTATAATATTTATTACTCTACAAAAAATTTTATTTATAAAAGTAGATTCACAAAGTTGGATAATAAAAATCACAAAGTTGCTTCCTTCCCTAAAATGAGAAACAACAGGCAGAAGATGACATGGATGAAGTTTTGATACTGGTTTCCAATAACCATTCCAGGGAAGTCAAAATAGTAGGTATAGCTGACCTCGAAAAGGAAATGGCCCAATACCACCAACTTATGGCACATATGAGCTTTTATTTGGTTGTGAATTTTTACCCGGCTAAATAAAACTACTCCCTGGATCATTCGGTCCTGATAATTTTTTAAATAAAGCTTTAAAAAACTCTCACACTTCGCCTTGAAGTTTCTCTATAAGTGCACAAAATGTCAGGACAAAATTTTGGAATTTTGTCTGACACTCTATATGCTAATCACATACTACTAAGTTTTACAACATATAAAAATCATATACTGTCACAGCAGCTTTATTTTAATATCTTAAATAGGAAAAACAAAAAGAAGAAACAGGAAACCAAAGAAATGCATTTAAAACATGAATGCAGAGAAACTGGAACCCTCATACACTGCTGGTGGGAGAGCTGCTTTGCAAAGTAGTCTGGCGATTTTTCAGAAGTCAGCAATTCTCTGTCTACATACATACCCAAGACAAATGAAAATACGTCTATATTAAAACCTGTACACAAATGTTCATAAAAGCAGTATTCATAATACCCAACAAGTGAAAACCCAAAAGTTCATCAATTGATGAACTGAATAAACAATATGTGGTCAATCCATACAATGGAATATTATTCAGCCATAAAAAGTAAAGAAGTACTGACACATCCTACAAGGATGAACCTTGAAAATATTACGTTAAGTAAAAGAAACCAGTTACAAAAGACCGCATTTTTGTAAGATTCCATTTATATGAAACGTCCAAAATAGGCAAATTCACAGAGACAGAAAGTAGATTAGTGGTTGCTTAGATCTGTGAGGATTTGGGAGGAAGAAAGAAGTGACTGCTAATAGCTACGGGGTTTCTTTCTGGAGCAATTAAAAGGTTCTAAAATCGATTGTGGTGATGGTTACACAACTCTGTAAATACATTAACAAGTACTGAACTGTACACTTTAAATGGGAGAATTACATGGTATGTAAATTATATCTCAATAAAGCTGTCATTAAAAAAATAAAACATTACCTATAGCCATTTATTTCAAAGTATCAGTAAGAGAGAATTACCTGTTACTGGAGGTGCAGAAAATGATGGCATCAGAGGTGTCTGGGGAGCTCTTCCTGCATGTCCCCTTGTAATGTCGTAAGCTGAACCAACAGAAAATCCAGATGTAGGAGGACCGGAAGAGGGTGCAGATAGAACAGTACTTGGGGCAGAAGTTGAAGTTGGGAAGTGAGGTAAAGGAGGATTACTGAAGGTAGCAACAGTTGGTGGAGAAACAGGAGGTGGTACAGAAGTAAGAAGGGGTGGAGCAGAAGAAACTGGTGAAGGAGGCACAAAAGGCAACGATGCAGAAGGCCTCACAGGAGGAAGAGATTGCTGAGGGGTAGAGTATGCGTGTGGTGGCAAGGATTGCATAGAAGATACATTTGGAGAAGAAAAGGAACTGGTTGCAGCTAGAAAAAAATGGGGAGAAAAAAACCACTAAATTAGAAATGCTTTTCACTTAGTTTTCAAAGTATCGCTTTACTTTCTTCCTGCAAAACTATTAAATATAACAGATCATATCCCAAGAATTATTTTTTAAATGTGTAATTTAGAATATACAACAAACACGATTCAACGCAAATGACTTTTAACTCCCATAAGTAAAAGGAGCAGCTATCTAAAATTATGGTACTGTTCATAAGATCTGTTATTTGTCTGT